GAAGGATAGAGGTGGAATAGTAAAACCACGGGACATGTATATCTATTGCGCGCGTCGTCGAAGGATGCAGTAAAAGAAGTTGTCAGTAACGGGATGATTCCTTCTGGCCATGTCCAGTTGTTACAAGATGTAATTTAAAAAAATATTAATAATGTCGTCATCCACAAAAAAGGCAATACTACATATGTATCATCAAATCTATATAGCTGCTCGAGCGAAAAGAATTCAATAAATTAGACGAGTCTTATATTTGGATATCTATTATATCATAAAATCATCTTTAATTGCACAAATCTCTGTTTATTACGCAACAAAGTTGTGATGAGAATACAAAAACTCTGACAAAAAAATTAAATAATAATAATGTATAACAAGGAAAATTATCGCATAAGAAAGACGCGACAGATAGCTTTATCTCACTTAGGCGTCAAGGACGAGATAGCCGCAAGAAGATTAAGAATTGCGTGTGACAAAATTTTTTCACGTGGAAAAAATGCAAAATTAATGCGTGCTCTTGTATGACTTTAACGAGTGCGGTTTCCTTATTTATTCTCGGAACGCAACTGCCTGCGTAAATTAGAGATCGCGGATTCGTTAAGGTGGATTCGTCGCGTAGGCGGAAAGAATGGCAACGTCAAGGGGCTCGTAAAGAGAATATATCGCGACGTGCGAGTTGTCGAGAACGTGTCGCGAACTGTCGCACTGTAAGCGGCGTTAGTGGTTCTCGTTAGATTCTCGCTAGAGGGATTTAATTTCCCAGGATTCAGTTCATTTAATTATATTCAATGGATTTAGTTCGACCGCGCGATTACAAAACACAGCCGTGTCAACTACATGAATAATTAAGAATACGGATAATTTTTCCGAATGCCAGCCTCTCTCGATCCGTTTGACTGCTCGCGCTCGACATTCTTGTCGCCAAGGGTTTAACACATGTATAAGTAAATTACCGCGAAAGTTAATGGTAATAAACTAATGACAGCGCACGGCGAGATAGAAGGCGCCGGCTGACCAGGCTCAACGCATTCTCAGGCGCGATGTTTTTATCACGATGTAGCCAGGCGCCGCCGTCGATAAGTGACTCAACGCAAAGCCCGCGGACGGCTCCGCCTCTGCGAAATGCCAATGAGCTTCTATATATTTTGTACTTATCGATGTATTACGTGGCGATTTTGCGATATAAACCCCCGATCGTACGTCATACCTGCCCATTCGGGCGAAATTCTCGCAACAATCTGTGCAAAAATCTGAATTAAGCGTAACGCTTATCGTGCATCAGTTACCTAAGTCCAATTGTAACGTCATCTGTCGAAATAACAGCTTTTACATGCTCGTATCACTTATCTTCGTCGTAATCGATCGAAAAAAAAATTGCACCATTATACAGGTTTATTCGCGTTTAACTATCGATTGGAATACAATATCGCGATTTGTTCGGCTCGGTGGGATATTAATGCTTAACAAAGATCTGTACCGCGATAGTCTCGCGATAACGAGTAATAACATACCATTGGGAATACTCATGCAGGCCAAATTACCAAGATCGCAAGTCATCGTGCGAGAATTATGCGTCTCGTGTTACTCGTAAACGATGCAGTAATTAAACTACAGATCCTTGTCCCCTGTTCGTGCTTCAAGAGCAGGCCGATCGATCGTTTATCTCTGCGGCATCGGGATCATTAATACATTGCGATTGATGGAGATCGCGCAATGTAATCCGGCTCGACGGGGTTTATTTGACAGATCATGTTCGTACATTTGCTCGCGAGGAAATAAAGGAAAGGGCGCAGGCGGAGGGGGAGAAGAGAAAGTCGGCATAGTTTTACGTGGGTGGACAACACGGTATCGGCGATACGGTATCCGGATTGGTCACGCTTTCTATTAAAAATTCACTTGCTGCTGCTACCAGCGACGATCGCCGTTCGTCGCCATGCGATGTTGATTTTCAGGGTTATTCGCGGCAGCTTTCCGGTGGAGAAATCCCGTTCCATAATCGAACGGAGTGTCGCGACAGCGCGATTATTGTGCCGTCGTTATCGTAGCACCGGTATTACGACGGATTTGTGTTGGAATGATTTATTGGGGAGATTCGGATTATTATAATCATTTCCCTTCAAGGATTGTGTAGTTTTTAAAATCGACGTCGTTTGTGTGTGTGAAACTTTAGCTATACCAGTTTTACATTTAATGCTATTTACTTGGGCCAAAGTTACTTGCCAGCCATCGGCTACAGTATTTTACTAATAAACCTACAATATTACATATCTAATACTCTTTCTCTCTTATTTTTCCTTATTCAAGCTCTTTTATTTTTCTATTTTAATCTCACCTAAATAACGTCGCATTGTCGATTGCATATGTATCTATTATCATTATCTATATTTCTTGAAAGTCTTACTTGCCCTATAAAATATTAATAAAATTTTATTTATTTTTATAACTTTAAAGAGATTTATAATTTATGTAAAATGTTCACAAAGAACGGTTCGTGTTCGCCGATAGCTCGCGACAATGATTGACTGTAAATCTGGCTCGGTGTGTTTCTTGAATGCATTAGTCTGTGGTACGCGATAACGGCGCGCCTCCGGTTATCGTTGATCGGCGTAGAATCGATCATGTCACACGTGTTCCGCCATGTTCTGTCATTCAGTATGCGATACGCAGGTACATATACGAGAACGATGCGCGAATCGCGAAGGAATGCAGACTATGACCGAATTCCACGTATCGCGCCGATAATATCCGCGATAATGCATTCGGTGACGAAACGAGAATATCCCCGCTCGTGTCAGATCCTTACCCCTTTCTTATCATCGATTATGTCGGGGAAACACCGTATGATAAGAAACGGCGACACGTTTCGCCAACCGGTGCATGTGTCTTATCAAATAAATTCCACGCGCCATGACTCACTGGCAATGATATATCATATGGTGTGTATTACACATCTCTGCCACGCTGTGTCGGCGCGATAATTCGAAATTATAACTCTAATCCGCTCATGATTACGCGCCGGCCGCTTTCATCGGTCGTTCTCTGGAAACGAATGGATGATTGTCAACGGAATTTCGATTATCAACGGAAGGAGGACGCCGATGATTCATGACGATAGATGCACTCACGGTAGCTCGAATATACAGACCGATCACCTTGTCGTAGAATATGTCATGGAGTCACATAATTATTCATAACTGGCTTTGATAAACATGTTTGATTGTATCGCTCGTAAAAATTCATCGATTTAGGCAAATTTTACAAAAATAATATGTATTGTAATTAATAATCAACTGTGACTAGCTATCTGTGGGATAAGCAATCTGAGACATTTAATAAAAATATTGAAATACTACAAATATGTGATCCAATTAATCCCTGGTCATGTTTAATAACTCGAGCAACATTAGTATGAAACTTTGTTTCGCTCAGGACTATTTGCAACTTGTTTTGGATACGTGGGATTATATAACTAACAATCCATTTTCTTCCCACATCTTAAACACAACAATAACTCGATCTCGGCATTTTGCCTGGGATTAATTCGGGATGATCGAGGAAATATGCGATTGCAGACAGATCTCATCTTAGCCGCGTCAATTTGTCTGATCTTTCGAGGAACTTGGATGGGACCTCATACAGTGTCGATGGCGCGGACTTTCTATCGCATCTCTCGCCCGTTATCGAAACAGCTTGGCATTTTGTTCGTTTGCTGGTTGAACGGCGAACGCACGCACGCGTGAAGTCCCGTCCATTACAACACGGTGAGAAGGCGTGTTTCCACGGTGTGAGAGGCGTCGCGATTTCCAGACGGGGACCAATCGATGATTTCTCGAGAGTCATTAACTCACATAACGAATGATGCCAGGAGAGCGTCGGCACCGCCATACTGCTGCGTATGGCGCCTATATTTTCTTCGTCTTTTATCAATTGGAATTTATACGCGGAGTTATCTATCAGGATACGGACAATAAGCAGGAATTATCGTTCACATTGCCGTTTTATCGTGTATTGACCAATAATGCGATAGCCGAAGCCTAATGGATATAGCGCAAGTGAATAAACGATAAATAACGAAAGAAACGATGGTAAAATAGCGTGAAAGAAAGAAAAGGGAAAGGTTTTTCGCGCAAGTAACATTCGTCGAGTCTCCCATGAGGAACAACATTTCTCTCCGGTAGGTCAGTAACACGTCGCTGCGCGATGTAATCGACGGAAACAAGCGAGGCGTGAGATAAGATATCGATTTGCAGCATCGTCGCGATTGAGTGACGAAACGTAAATGACGCCCGCACCTCTTTTGCACGAAACGTTTTGCCGTAGACTTTATCGGCAAATCTTGAATGTTAAATCCACAGTCCGTCCTGACATGTCGCAGCAAATGCGTTGTCTTCTCGAACAATTCACGCAGTTGAAAGTCTTGTGTCGTTTGCACAATTTGTTCGCGATTTTCGCGGATGATTTACCGAAGAGTCGTCTTAATCGGAGTATCAATATAGTGATATATAGGACTTTAAAAATAGGACGTTTTAAAAAAAGAACAGCCGATCGAAACCTCAAACAAGTTTGAAGTGACAAGTTGTTTTAATACACAAGTTTGTTTAAATAACTTTTCCATATGAAAGGTAAGAATGTGTGGTAAGATCACGAGATTATGATAGAGTAAAAAAGACATATCGTAAATTAAAATATCATATGTTTCATATTCGCAATTAATATAAAAACACAATATAATGAGCTTTACTTCGTAATATTAAACGAAAGTGACCGAACTGAATCAGTCTTTAAATATCGATAATATATTACGAAATCTATTTGAATAATTCAGAAGCCGAGTCTCTGTAATAAATACACGCGAACGATAGCGTGCATCGTGAAATGAAATCGATCGCCGGCGTCGATTACGATTCTAACAGGGCGATGATTTGTCGATGATTATCTCGTTGCGATTAACGCGGCGTTGTAAGAGGCCGTTAATATATGTATGTACGTTTATCTGTCGATAGATTGGCGGCGCGGTAGCCATGTCATCGCCGGATCGGCACGGCGGATCATCACGAGAAATCGACGTGGAGCCGGGAGAGAGTCATCGTCGTCGGCCCAGTATACTTAGAGCCGCCGAGTAAAAAAAAACCGATAGCCGAGGGATCGGTAATTCAAGGATCGATACGAGCGGATCGATCCACCAGCTCGCAACCTACGGCCTCTTTGCTGGCCTGGCCAGCTACTATGCGAATTGAAGCTCTCAGCACCCTCCTCGTCGCGGTAAGTGTTAATTGTAAGACGAATATTCGATAAATTGCGATCTGTGCGTTTAAAATTGATACGTCTCTCGAAATCCATTCTTCTAGCGCGTTTAGAGAATCATATATATATGCAAAAAAGATAATTATAATTGAAAAACTTGGAAATAAAATTTGAGAAGAAAAATCTAGAGAAAATAAGAAATTAACAATTAATAATTGCCCCCCTAAATAATTCATATAATCAATTAGTTAAATTAATTTTTAAAGTCAATTGAAACTTGCTCGGTGTTCAAGATGTTAACAGTAGCGAGATACATGTTAATAAAATTCTCACTCATGCATCTGTTGTGTAGTTGAGTATGTAAGCTCACTGATAATTACAATTGTGCACTCCCAGTACGATTGACGCAACAATCGACATCCGTGGCGTCGCATTGTGCCGGACGAATGGACGTAGCGAAACAATAATTACGATATCCAGCATCGATGCAACGATCGTAAAGTACCGCCCGCCGCGTGTGTTATTAGCATATTATCGAGATAGCAGGGTGCCCGCGCACACAATCGCGCCAACTACGGACGGCCGATAGAGCGGTGAACGATGTGTGTTTTTCTCTCCTCAGCCACCGCCTGTCACGGAGGCGCATCGATAAACTCCTAGAATTATGGCGTGGATCGTGCGCTTTCATTCCTTTCATCTTCCCTTCGTCCGCGCCTCGTCGCGTTTTCCCACAGCTGTCTTTCGGCATCATTCTCATCTCTCGCTTGTTAGACGAACCCGAGTCGCGAGACAGAATCTCTAATAACATTCAAAATATTTTCGAACGTTACCAAGATTAAATCTGTCAGATATCTATAGGTATATATTTTTAATGGTAAATATCTAATTTTCAAGCTACGAGCTTGCGTGCGCAGAATCAATCGATTAATTTGGAAATAATATTTCGTTTAAGAATTGAATCTGTTCAGCTAGCGCGATAAATTGAACTATGAAAATTTATTCATTACATGGATCGAGATCGCAATTAGTATCCACGGATTAGACAGCAGTTTCACAGCGAAAAAAAAAGCAATATCCCTATCATCGATCGTTCGTCGCGCACATACCAGCGTTATCTTACATACATTATGCACCGACGACGTACAGACACACGGTCGATCGGCGGCAAGTTACTACGCTCCCGTGATATTGATAAATGATAATCGCCGGTGTAGCCCGCGCGCGCGCGCGTTGCGCCGATAATTTAATAATGGTAGATTAGCGGCGTGCACGCACATGCGTGTAAATCGTGTACGCAGCATCGGGGTCGTCGGGGCCTCACGGCGCGACATTACTATGCTAATCGGTCCGGCATCGGCGCCGATGTGTGTGTGTGTGCCTACAATAAATAATCCTCTTAACGCATCCTCTGAAAAGGATATGTGTCGTTGCGCGGGAAAGGACGAGGCGACGAGTCTCCCGTTTTGCGCGAATGCCGGATGTCGGTTGGCGCGCGATGAAGATACCGTCGGCATTTTTGGAGAGCTAGGTCTTCGATGTATTCCCGGTTGCCTCGGATTACCGTGAATATTACGCCGTCGGCGCGTCGTCTAACACGTCCGTGAGGAGCATTGCGAAAGAGCGTTTAAATTTATGCAAAAGTGCATCGCTCATTACATCCCAATTTATTTTAAGAGCGTAAAAGATCTCTGCCTTTGATTTTTAGTTATTATATCAGATTTTAATCGAAATAGCGCGCGGATATATTTTTTAGCAACGTGTCAGTTTTCGAAACGACAGTCATCCATATAGCAAAATCATCGCGAATGACCGAGAAACGATTCTGTAAAAACAATTTCCGGTTTGTTAGTTCGATATATATTTACCGGATGACTCTTATCGGAAATCGAATGCCGACTACAGTTTCAGGTATCGGTTTCAAAGCCATCTACCAATTACTTCTGTTGAATCATCCACCTACGTGTATTGTTAGTGATCAGCGACAGTAAGGCGAATTTCACGCCTTGTCGCAGATAATATGTGGGAAGAGCTAAAACTGACGATTGGCAGCAGACCAACCAGAAACGAGGCGTGACTTCGCCGTCTTGGCTTTTATACAAATGCTAATGCAACAGATTGATTCGTAGAATGCATTAAACGCACTCGTAAACTTTCAAATTTATTAGAGACAAATGAATTGTATAAATCTTATATAATTTGTATGATGACTCACAATTGCATTTCGATATAAATTATAAAACCCATCGACGACATTACTATGCTAATCGGTCCGGCATCGGCGCCGATGTGTGTGTGTGTGCCTACAATAAATAATCCTCTTAACGCATCCTCTGAAAAGGATATGTGTCGTTGCGCGGGAAAGGACGAGGCGACGAGTCTCCCGTTTTGCGCGAATGCCGGATGTCGGTTGGCGCGCGATGAAGATACCGTCGGCATTTTTGGAGAGCTAGGTCTTCGATGTATTCCCGGTTGCCTCGGATTACCGTGAATATTACGCCGTCGGCGCGTCGTCTAACACGTCCGTGAGGAGCATTGCGAAAGAGCGTTTAAATTTATGCAAAAGTGCATCGCTCATTACATCCCAATTTATTTTAAGAGCGTAAAAGATCTCTGCCTTTGATTTTTAGTTATTATATCAGATTTTAATCGAAATAGCGCGCGGATATATTTTTTAGCAACGTGTCAGTTTTCGAAACGAGAGTCATCCATATAGCAAAATCATCGCGAATGACCGAGAAACGATTCTGTAAAAACAATTTCCGGTTTGTTAGTTCGATATATATTTACCGGATGACTCTTATCGGAAATCGAATGCCGACTACAGTTTCAGGTATCGGTTTCAAAGCCATCTACCAATTACTTCTGTTGAATCATCCACCTACGTGTATTGTTAGTGATCAGCGACAGTAAGGCGAATTTCACGCCTTGTCGCAGATAATATGTGGGAAGAGCTAAAACTGACGATTGGCAGCAGACCAACCAGAAACGAGGCGTGACTTCGCCGTCTTGGCTTTTATACAAATGCTAATGCAACAGATTGATTCGTAGAATGCATTAAACGCACTCGTAAACTTTCAAATTTATTAGAGACAAATGAATTGTATAAATCTTATATAATTTGTATGATGACTCACAATTGCATTTCGATATAAATTATAAAACCCATCGAAACAACCATTTCTTTTCTGATCGTTCATATAATAAAAACTTATAATGCTTAATTAAATTATGTTTAATTAAAAAATTATGTTTGCTCTTTTCTGTCAAATTTTTTTTTCTTTTGCGGAATAGCGTGCAATGGCAAAAAAAAAAGAATTACAATGTTTGGGTATACATTATTTATATTAGCTATTCAACAATTTGGCATAATGCTCGAGGGCCTCGCAATAAGATATTTGTCGGATGAACGCCTTCTTCTATTATCGCATGGGCCCGTCGTAGTCGCGTAGCCTGTAATTTAAAACAATTTGGAAATAATATATTACGAATCGTAGTTAGGCATAATATAATATAAAAGAGGGTGGATCTCTACAGAGAGCTGCACGCAGGTGGTTTGGCCTCGTGCTTTTTGCGCAAATGATTTAGTGAGTCGTCGTGGGTGTATTTGCCGCCGGGACGTCGACCCCTTCCAATAGTTCCTTTTTTTCATATGTTCTAACTCGATTATACCCGATTGGTAGAGAAGAGAAAAGCATATATCTCAACGCGAGATAGTCGGGCGCATACATCGCGAGTGGAGATCGACATTCTTTCTCATTCGATTCTGAACCGAATTATAATATAAGAAACATAGGCAAGTCGCGCTTCCTCGTTTTCCCAATTAACATTCCACTCGTCTCGACATATCGAACAGCCGCGGCTACCCTGCCGGGGACAGGTGTCGTCGCGACGGAATATACTGCTAGACACTTATTTTATAGAAATACGTCGTCGCGTTCTTCAGCTTCCTATGTACTTGAATCGCGATTTTGCGCCGGACTCGCGTGCGTAAAAAAGAATTTATATGACGCCTACCCCTTCGGGTCGATTCCGCTCCGATCTGTCAGATCCTGTTCCGATCGGCCAGCACTCGCGACCATCTGTTAAATCTCACGCGCATCGAACGGGTTGTCATTTAATTTGCCGTCATCAACGAGAGTATAGAGGAGACGAGAGTCCTGCGGTGTCTCGTAGAAATGCGCGCGCGCGCGCGCGTGTAACTGTACGCACGATTTACGCACCGTGCGCATCACACGCACGAGATGGCAAGGCGACTAACCAAATATTTATACACGTCAATCATAACACACGGCAAAGCATTCGCTGTCTAAACAGCCCGCGGGTTGTGCCCTCCCGTGCGAGCCACTTCGCCGTTGGCCGTTTATTGTGCCGGGCGGCACGCTGGAGGACCTTTCATTGCTCCTTACCTATCTCTAACAGGCACTCGATAGTTGCCGTTTGTCATGCGTTCCACGATGTTTACCTTTCCACGGTGAAAAAAATCACATTGCGCTCGCTTAACTCGCGCCATGCGTCGCGTTGTCACACGTCGATGCGCAATATATATTGTGGACTCGTCGTATGTTACTTGTCATGTCTTTTTCGATTCCATGAACGAACGAAATTAGACGCGAACGATATACGATGTATATGGCTAAGGACTTAAATCACTACTGTGATCCGTCTCGCGGATGACAAAGTGGCTCTCGATCAGTTATCGCAAAAGAATGTATAAAAAATTTGGATGCAAAATATAATTCGTATATTCTCTCTCAGATATTAAATAATGTAATGATATTAAACATCGTATAAAATATGAAGGATTGCAGATCGGATCGCGCAACGAAATCGTAAAAAATGGTGGGCACGGATGAGGATCGAGTGACTCTCGAAATGTTTAATAAATGGCGAAACGCTGGTGTTGAAACCACCTTTGGTACTTTGCAATAAGTCGGGAGTACCTCTTGTCTTTATAAATGCACAAAGACTATGCTAATGATACGAGCGTTGCATTGACAGTTGGGTAAACACGGGCCACT